TGGAACTACAGGCATGCATCCACCACGTCCAGCTAATTTTTTGATTTATTGTAGAGATGAGATCTCACCAAGTTGCCCAGGCTGGTCTCGAACCCGTGGGCTCGGGCAATCCTCTCACCACGGCCTCCCAAAATGCTGGGATTATAGGCATGAGGCACCGCGCCCAACCAGCCTGGCCCCCTGTAGAAGCACAAACCTAAGCCCCTGGTCCAGACCTGTCCTCCAGCTCTCCCCCAGGTGACACGGATACACACCCCAAACCAGGCTGCATTCTGACCGACATTAGCGCTCTCCCTCTGGGAGTTCTGATCCTCTCTCAGCTCGGCCCAACAATGAGAAACTTTTTTCTCTTCTCCCTCAGGGGAACCTTCACGTTTATCCAATTCATTCTCTTGCAACCCAACTCTCCAGAAAGAAAAGGGGGGAAAAATCCCACCCCTAAGAGACGGTCTTCAGGTCTGAGGACGTTACTTAGCAACGGCACAAAGACCAGTGAGCAAAGAGGGACCTGAGGAGAAAACTCTTGGGTGGGGAGACAGAGCCAGTTTGGAAACTCCATTTCATCCAGAGAAAAACAAGAGAAACACAAACAGAATCAATTCCCGAGGAACGCCAAGCGGGGCTTCTCCCCAGCGCAGGTCATCACTCTGCTCCCTGCATCTCAACTCCTTCAAACCCCCGGCGACCAAGTCCGCCCCCCCGGTTGCGCCCATGGCCCGGGTGCCCTCCCCTTGCCCTGGCCTGACCCACACAGGCTTGGGCTCAGAGGCCCCCCCATCCCTCCCCAGGCACCCACCGTTCTCAGACGCGCTGGGACCTTCGCAGTCCGAGATTAACTGTTGGGGTTTCCGCTGCTTTCGCCGAGACATTCCCGGGAGAGGGAGGGGCAACGCTCACAGCCTTAACCGGGGTGACCTGGTCTGGTCTCCCCCTTGGGTCTGAAGCCAACTGATGCCTCTCCCCCAGTGCAAATCACTGTGAAGCAGAGATGTTCTCCTTTCCCAGAGACAGACTCTCTCTCTCTCTGATTCTCTGTTCTTGACTCTCTCTCTTTCTCAATCTTTGCAAGTCTTTAAAGGGGAGACGCCCCCTTTTTTTTCTTCAGCTTCTTCCCTACGCTTCTGCAGCTCCCATTGTAAAAGCAAAAATCCTAATCTTTCCGCACACTCTTTTCTTTTGTACTGCAGAGGAAAGGATTTAACCCTCTCCTCCCTGTGAGGGCTCCGGGCCTCTCCCTCTCCCTGTGCTGTCTGTTCAGAGACTGTCCCTCACTTGTTTTTCTAACTCTTCTTCCAAGATCTTCATGGCGCTTTTCGTTTTTTTCATAATTCGATGCCCCTCTGTTTGATAATAGGGCTGCTTCTGAGGTACATACTGAAATAAGAACTTTCTGATATATCCTGATTATGAGGCCAAGAAATCAGATACTTGCAGTCGAAAATGGGGATATGAAATGTCAGCAAAATATTGAGAAAGATGGACAGTTGTTATAATGGTAACTTAATATAGTGTAGCTCTATATAATTTATGGAATGCTTGCATTTATGTGACGTATTTTGATGATTACAACTCTGAAATTAGCACAGCAGGTTTTAACACTGTCAATGATCCCCTTTATAGAGAAACAAAAATCTCAGTGAGGTTAAGTAACCTCTTCAAGGTTGCACAGCTGTGATGTAACCAGACAGGCTGAAATCCAGGTACCTCTAACAGTCTAGCATTCTTTCTGATATATCAATAGACACAATATGCCACCAGATTTCTAGCATTAAACAACAAAAAAAAAGGAGCTGGGCTTGGTGGCTCAGCCTGTAATTCTGCGCCTTTGGGAGGCTGAGGTGAGTGGATTGCCTGAGCCCGCGGGTTCGAGACCCGCCTGG